TGTTTTGGCTTATTGCTCTCCAGCACCATCTACAGCCTGATGGGGGAAAAACCCACAGTGATGTTCAGGCTGCCCTCTACTGCCCTCTGAGGTTTGACAAAAAGTGGAGAAGACAGGCTTTGCACCTCCTTGGACAAAGTAGAATTCCTTGCTATTTAAAGAGTGGACTGGAGAAAGGCTGGAATACCTCTGTCACCTATCTGCAGTATGAGGGAAAAAGTAGATCCAAGAGTAGATCTAAGGAGCTTGGCAGGTCTTTGGTTTATGGGAAATGCTTGTCACTGAAAGAACATAACACTTTCTCAACATCTTCCTAAGAGTAGCTGTGTGTTAAATGAGTTTGGCACTGCTTCAGATGCCCATAAATACTCAAGAAGAGGTTTAATTCATCAGGAGAGATGTGAGAACCAGAACAGAGCCAGAGAGAGAGGCAGTTTGGCTTAGCCACTCACATATGGTAAAGACTATTCATTAAAAAGACATAGGACAGCAAAGTTTGCCATCTAGAGTCATGAATTACCTGGGTTTGTAGGTTTCCGTACTTGACGACTTGCCTCTTATTGGGTTTCTATACCTGTGCACCCATTTTCCCACAAAGACACAGTGTGTCTTGAGTAAATGTTATGATTATTCCTGCTTTTGCCTTCTCTTAAGGAAATGGGATAAATATTCTTGCTTTTGCTTTATCATCAAGTAATTTATGTTTAAGAGTCACTGGTGTCAGTGCACTATTGGTGGAGCTATGAATTGGTCCAATCATTCTGAAAAGCAATTCAGAATAATGCCTAAAAGTTGCTAAAAGGTGCAGATCCTCTGATCTAGCCACTACCATCTACCATTACCAGGCTTGTATGCCCAAAGAAGTCAAAGAAAGAGGAAGAAGATCTATATGTACAAAAATAATTATAACAGTTCTTTTTGTGGTATGCTTAAATTAGAAACTAAGGCAGTATATTCTTAAGGGGTAATGGCTAATCAGATTGTGGTATAGGAAAGTAATGGAATATTATTGTACTGTAAGAAATGATGAAACGGACAGTTTCAGAGAAAACTAGAAAGACTTTTGTGAACTGATACAGATTGAAATGAACAGAACTAGAATAATTTATACAACGATAACATTATAGAGAAAAACAACTTTGAAAGCCTTTAGAACTCTGATCAACAAAATGATAGACCATAAGCCCAAAAGCATGAAGATGAAATATGCCACTCAACTGCAGATAGAGAGGTGATTAACTTAAAATACAAAAAGAGACATGCATTTTTAGACATGGCCAAAGTAGGAATTAGTTTTGCCAGACTATGCAGCTTTGTATTAAGGTATTTTTGTTTAAGGATTTAATTTTTACTCAGTATGGGAGGGAGGAGTAATAGAAAGGAAAGATTTAATTGATAAAAGAGCCACAAAAGCAAAATTTATTGCCACAAAGGATAAAAATGCCACACTTATTTCAATATAATTTATTGCTTTGCAGAGGTGTTATTCTGAATTACAGGGAAATGGTGAAAATCTATTGCATCATTTGCTACTAAGAAAAAAAAAAGACATCTCAATTCACTGCCTTGATCATAAAGGTCTGCTATTGATATTACTGTAAATGGTAGTGAATGGGGATTATTTTTTGTAAAAAAAAAAATGTATCAAGTATTTAAAGTAGATATCATTTGTATTTTTAAATCATTTTATTTCTAGGACACATATGCTATGTAAACAAGAGTCAATAATTTCATGGTGAATGATTTTGTGTAAATCAGAAGCACAATGCTAGAACTCAGAAGCTATAGTGATGAGTAATACAAGTGTATTCTGCCTTTCTTTCCCTCTGTCTCCCCCTCCTATCCCCACCCCCTGTAATCTCTAGGACTGAGAGAGAGAGAGAGTTTGAGTTATAATGGCTGACCATGGCTAGAGTCACCTCTCTGGAAATATCACCCTGACCTGACAAAGTGGTTGAAGATAGGATGAGCAGCCATCCCTATCCCAGAGAGGAGAACCTGGGTATACTTGTGGATCAGTGCCACTCTCCAGCTATACTGCTCACATGAGTGGATCTGATGCCACACTGGGGCTATACTGATATACTTTATATATGTGATGGAGAACAATAGAGGATAAGTCATGGTAGAACCGCTCTACACGATCTCTATTCTCATTCCACACTTCCTCTAAGACCACTGATGAGTGATATTCTTTCACTTCAACCATTTTTATGCTGCAGACCTCTCCATCTTCACCAGAATTGCAAAGCTGTAGTCTTGCCCGTTTAATAATGCGCCCATGTGTCAGAGACTTGTATGAGGTAACTCTTCTTGGCTTCTCTTGGATGGTGACTGACACTTGGAAAAGGATATGGTACTCCTACTATACTGGTGCCATCTTCTCACATGCAAGTACACAGTTGACAAACAGAATTTTTATTACAGCAAGGAAAAGAACAAAACAACCATACTAAAATGAATAATCATTTGTCCCCATGTTATAAATAAATCCATAGGATTTGTTACCATCCAGGACACGAAGGATTTTCTGACAAAACTCCTCTGTCCAAGTCTCATCTTCTCCCACTGCTCTTTGCTATATACTGGTGTGGAGGTATGTTTTTTTTTTCTCTCTCTCTCTCTTTCTGTTATTCTTCATGGCTCTTCCTAGCTTAGCAGTCTATCCAAGTTTCTCAGGCAAGGCAAAGGTGATTATCTAGGGTTCTCTAATCTTTCAGTGCCACTTCTCCAAGGCAAGAGGGCAAAAGCCTCTAGGGTCCACCACCTATTTCCACCCTTGCCAGTTACCACCAGCCTCACATCTCCATATATGCCTTTACCTCATTCATTTTTCCCAGTCACTCAATTGGCAGAAAGAGGGGGAAGGGGAAATATTCCAATACTCGCTACAAGTATATCATGGCTAAAGCTGAATTTGGGCTAAGATTCCAAAATGGAGAATAATTATAAATAAATTTATTGATAAGAATCTTATTTATGGTCTTGTTTGGTGAAAAATAGTACCTGTGTAAGCCGGACCTTGAGACTTGAACTGTTAATGACAATACATAGGTAGGTTTGATAGGTTTGGTTCCTAGCAGAAAAAGACATTTGTGTAATTCACACACGCTTAGGAATTAGCACATTATCTCTTACTGACAGGTATAGCTAGGACAAACTAAAGAAGATCTCAATTAAAATAAACAAATGATTACAGTTGTTTCTAGAACTGTAAACATGATCCTGATTCATGAATCTGCTCATCCTTGTTTCCTAATATCCTAGTGTAAATACTAGCCATGAGATATCCTTTATGTGTTCTCAGGTTTAAGCAAATCCTTTTGACTGAGACATTCCCATTTCCTGAAAGATCTTAGGTTGTTATTCTCTTAAGTCCATCAAGTAAAATGTTTTCTGATATTTGATAGCTGAGCAATTGACCTAGCAAAATAACCAGCATCTCCCACGTGTTCACAGTAGATTTGTGTAGATATGTTTTTAAAGAAAGTAATGTAAGCCCATGTGTGTTTGATAGACTTAGCCACAAATTATTTTTTTTTTCCCTGTGTAAATTACTCAGGCAAATTGGACTGCTCAGAAGAGATTCCATTAATAGTGAGACTCCTGCTGCCTGGTATATTGGCTGGTTTGTACATGTGTTAAAGCTACATAAATTACTGCCTCTGTGTGCTTATACTGTAAATATAAGATGATTGTCTCCATGGGCCTATGGACGTTTGCTGATGAAGTAAAAATTCATTCCAAGCCAAGGAAAAAAAATTACTTCCAAGCCTCCCAGGAGGTTGTTTTTGTCTGCATTAAAAAGACCATTTGGGGCCCGTTGGAGATTATAGTCCTGGAGTTCACATAATATGTGTGTGTTGGTGGGGGAGGAGAGGAGTTGCCTGTGTTTTGTTGAAACACATACAAACCTTTATATATGTGTTTGGAAAACTCTTGGTTGTCACAGTAGAGAAGGGGAGAAGAAAAGAAGATGAGGGGAAGGAGAGGGGACAGCCAGAGCCACAGACATGAATTTTGTAATCACAGGGCCCCTGATGGGTATGCAACCTCAGTTCAAATCTAGGATGGAATAATAGCTATCTGTGTGACCAAGAGGGAGCATGTGATGGTGAACAAGAGCCCTGGGTCAGAGGACCTGGTTCAAATCTCAACTTTTCTACTTGCTGCCTGTGTGACCTTTAATAAGTCATTCATTTCCCTGGTACTGAATTTGTTCATCTCTAAAATAAGGGGTTGCAGGAGATGATTCCTAAGGTTGCTTCACATTTTGAATCTTAAAGTCCTAAATCACTTATTCTCTTTGAACCTCATTTTCTGTCATCTATAAAATGGTGAAAGTAAGAACTCGGAAAGACCTTAGCTTCAAAAGGCCAAGGTCTCCCTCTGCATTCTGGGCCATCTCCAGTTGTCCTGATCTATATTTGGCCACTGGACCCAGATGGCTCCAGTGGCAAAAGTGAGGCTGATGACCTTGCACAGCCCTCCCTTGCTTAAATCCAATTCACTTGCAAATCATGGCATCATCTTCCTGATGTCATGGTTCTCTTTGAGAAGGGCAAACCACAACAACCACAACAAAATAGTGCTAACATTTGCCCTACCCATTACACAGTTGTAGAGAAAGCACTTTATAAAGTGCTAGCCATGTTACCCATACAGCAGCTTCTCACCACCTCCAGGATTACTTTGGACTCACATTGGCTGGTTGTGATCTTGGAGACTGATCTTGGGGTCAGTCTCTCTCTCTCTCTCTCTCTGGCTCTTCCATAGTAAAAGACTCCAGGGAAATCTCTAAAATGAAGCTTAAGTATACATGGGCTTTCCTTCCACATGGGTAAGAGAGTCTCCACTTGCAAGGTATTCAAGATACAATATGGATACCATGCATGGGACAACCTTTATTTATTACATCAAGAAGATGCAAAGGACTCCCAGGTGCACTTTAACAAATACAGGAAGCAAAACATTCAAAAAGACCATTACTCTCATTAGATACTTGGGGAGATTAAAATATTTTCCATTCAATAACTATTTCCCTTTTACTTAGGACCTTTGAGCACCTCACAACAGTATTATGGGGGGTCATCAGAGTTCAGAGCTTCTGGCTGGCCATGGTGTGGCTATCAGTCCTTCAGCTGGAAGTTCCTCCTGGTGGAGTTCTCTTCCCCAAGCAGCAGGTTGTTTAGGAAGTCTTCTCCTTCTGTTGGCAAGGGCTTAATGCTCAAGCTCAGAAACTCTTAGATTCAGGGATAAGACCCAAGAAGACTGGGGACGTTCATTCTTAGGCTCAGTAATCCATGATCTATGCTCAAAAAAAGGAAACAGAAAGATAGAAGAAGGCATTTAGGAAATGGGAAGGCCAAGAACTCCTCTGTGAGGTCACACACAAGTATGTCTTCCACTATCAGGTACTTCTATTGTAAGTCTCCATTGCTGCTCCTGATGGGGGAAGAGGGTGAGAAATCCTCTTCTTTCACCTTTGCTATTCTACCATCTGAAAGTATAAGGAAGAGATGATGTTAAAAAAAAAAAAAGGGGGTGTGTGTGTGTGTGTGTGAAGCTATTTCACAGGTCATTGTTCAACCTTGGGGAGGGCAGTTCCTTTGACAAGAATATACCCCAGGCCCTCAATCAACCAATTATTAGGAGGCAACCTTAGTCTCTGGAGACCAATCAGGAAAGTCCCTGTCCTCCAGAAAGGAGGGAAGGAACAGCAAGAAGGTAGGGTATGGATGTAGCTTATAGGTTTGGGGAAGGGGTGGTTAACAAATACTTAAGTAGGTCCTTTTTGTTGGTAGTGTTCAGTCATTTTCAGTTGTGTCCAATTCTTTGTGACCACATTCGGGGTTTTCTTGGCAAAGACACTGGAGTGTTTTGCCATTTCCTTCTCCATTTTACAAATGAGGAAACTGAGGCAAAGAGGGTAAAATGACTTGCCCAGGGTCACACAACTAGTATGTGTCAAGGCCAGATTTGAACTCAGGTCTTTCTGACTCCAGGCCCCATACTCTATCCACTGCACCACCCAGCTGTCCTGGAAACATTTTTGACTATTATTTTTAGCTATTATTACTGTATGTATAAGACATTTTTGGATATTGTGGAGATGTAATGATGGGATTCTGGAAACCATTCCCTAGGGGGAACTGAGTGATGAATCATCCAAGGAAAACTATTCTGGAGGATGTGGAGCTGGTCTTCTGAGCAAGAGGTAGGTGTTCACCAAGGACAATAGTGGTAGCTCACATTTCTGTATACAAAGCCCCCCCCCAACAACCCTGGGGGTTAATTGTCATCTCTGGGGCAAGTGATCTGAGAGTTAGACACATCCTTTAGATTAAAAAAAAAGGCAATTTGGGGTGTGTTCCAAGTGTAAACTTGGAAACAAAAGAGGAGATTTTGTGTGTGTGTGTGTGTGTGTGTGTGTGTGTGTGTGTGTGTGTGTGTGACAATCAGGGTTTAGTGACTTGCCCAGGGTCACACAGCTGGTAAGTCTGTAAATTTGAGACTGTATTTGAACTCAGGTTCTCCTGACTCCAGGGCTGGTGCTCTATCCATTGTACTACCTAGCCACCCCAAGACTCTGTTTTTGCCAAATAAGAAGAAACTTGGAGAGTACAGAGAGGCTCCAGAAACAAAGGATCACAGATGTTAGAGCTGAAAGGGACCTCAGATGCCATATAATCAGTTGGATTGTAAGCCTCTTGAAGGCAAGGATTGTCTTTTGCTTTTCTTTATATTCCCAGTGCTTAGCACACTGCCTTGGACATAATAGGCATTTAATAAATATTTACCAAGGGGCAGCTAGGTGGCGCAGTGGATAGAGCACCGGCCCTGAAGTCAGGAGGACCTGAGTTCAAATGAGGCCTCAGACTAAGCACTTGACACTTACTAGCTGTGTGACCCTGGGCAAGTCACTTAACCCCAATTGCCTAAAAAAATAATAGTAATAAATTTCAAAATAAATAAATAAATATTTCTTGATGGACAGATTGATAGTCTCATTCTTTCATTTTACAGGCCAGAAAATTAATTGCTCAAGGTCACTCAGCTAGCAAGCATCAGAGGCAGATTTCAACCTGTGATCAGACTTCAGAGCTAGTGTTACTCCCCGTGTACTATGCTGTCTCCAATAGCTTGCACTTACATACTGCTTTATATAAAAAGGACTTTACTTACAACTTTAGCCCCATAAAGTAGGTAGGAGAAATATTATAATCCCCATTATACTGATGAGGACACTCAGGGTCAGGGAGGAAAGTGTTTTTTCCCAAGGTCACACAACTACTAAGTGGAAGGGTAGGATTCAGTCCTAGGCCTTCTGACTCTAGGTCCAATTGCATTTCCATTGTCCACGTCATTGACCACCCAAAGAGCGGTCACTAGGCCCAGATGCTAACCTAGCACCAAAACTTCATTTCAAAGGTCAAATCAGCCATAATAAATGGCCAGTGAATATGATTTGGCAAAACAAAAATACCACGTGGACAGGGAGAAATGGGCTAGGGAAGCATTTCCATGGGGCCATGGAGGTGTCCCCGAAAAGACGGAAAGAGGTAATTACAGTCTCAGAGCTTGGTGGCCTGAAGCCTAGGGGAGGAATCTTTGGGGTCAGATAGGGAACGTTCTTCCACAACAAACAGGGTTCTCCAGACAAGGTTAACATGAAAAATATTATCAGATTATAATAGTCTATTATGTTATTAGATAAGGAAACTCTTTGAAGACAGGGACTATGTGGTTTTTCACTTTTTCCAAGGACACTGCTTACATGCTCAAATGTCTACTGAATTGAATTGAATTGGAAAGAGGTTAGTTTTGGTACAGTGAGAAGAATATTGACTGGACTCAGATGTTTACTTGTCTGTATGATGTTGCCCATGTCACTCATCTTCCGTAGGTCTCAGTTTCTTTAACCATAAAATGAGGAGTTTAGAGCGGATGACCTCTGAGGTCTCTTCTAGTTCCGTATCTGTGGTCCTATAATCTGTACCAACCAACCCAATCTATGGCTACATTATAATTTCCTTAGGAAAAGAATTCTATGCTCTATAAGCTGTTCTATTTATATGCTTTTGAAATTTGTTTTGTTTTTCCTTAGTTTACTAATGTAATTCATAAGGCAATTCAGGCTCAGCCTTTGACATAACTAATTGGGTTTGTCTTGGAAACCTCTTTCAAAAATCTCTAGGGCTTGGGCTCACTCTAAGGCCAAGAGAATGGGTGGAGACAAATGTCCCTAGAAGCCAAGGTGGTGCTAGCAGTGCTTATCCCTACTGCTAGGGAGGAAGCTGGTGCTGACAGGTGAAAATTTAGGGTGGGGAGAGATAGAGCTCAGTGGAAATCATTTATCTCTTTCAGGCAAATGCCTGAATTCATAGTTGGTGAGATAATTTATACAATTCTGATAATGATCATGCCTCTGACAGGTAAGGTCATTTTGTAAACCTGTCTTTCACAGTTTGGCTCCAGCCTACCTTTCCAGACTTTTCCCATGATTCCTTTGTGTATTCTATTTGCAGCCCAACTAGCTTATTCACTGCACTCAGCATCCTGTCTCTCTCTTCTGTTCCTTTACCTGGAGACCTCACTTCTGCCTCTTACAATTTTTAGCTTTCTTCAAGGCTTAACTAACTTGTCACCTCCTAGAAAAAGTCTTTCCTGAAGCTGCCCTAGAAGTTGGTGCTCTCTGCCTTCAGAACTTATGTTGTATTTACTTCTCTGTTTAATATCTTCTCCCCCAGTAGGATGTAAGCTCCGTGAGGGCAGAGTCTCCTAGTATTCCTAGCCCTAACACAAAACTCTGCTCTAGACTTGTACTAGGTGCTTAATAAGTGCCTGGGGTATATGGGGCATTCAGGGAGAACCAGTGTCTGGTGTGAGGGCTTGTCAAGCCTTTTCTCATCTGTGACTCCAAGAAGCATGCTGAGTGGCCACGCAGCCCAGGAAACTGTCTGGGCTGACTGGCTAAAGCAGGTTGAGGGTAATTGACAGACCTCAAACCCATCAATGAATTGGAGGACATCTATCTGAAGCATGTAAAGACTTTCCCTGGGGATGGGTAGATGAGAACGGTTTGTTCCAATGGCCAGGAAGGTAGCTGAAGCAGGAGCTGGAACACTTAGATCATGATCAGACATCAAAGATGCCAAGGTCATCCAATGCATCCTGGGACATGACCCGTCATCCTGACTTTTGTCTTGCCACTGGACTTTGATGACTCTGGAAGAGAGAGTGAATCTGATGCCTTTGCGTAACTCTGCCTCACTGAAATCCAATTCACTCACGAGTCAAGGCATCACCCTGTGACGTCAATGGTCCTCTCTGAAAACAAAGGATGAACAACAACAATAAATGATTATTGAATTGTGCTGTGTGGGACTGCTGTCACAAATGGACTGCAAAACCTGTGAAAATTGAAGACATAAGTTATCATTTATTGTCTACTATATGCCAGACACTGTGCTAAGCATCAAAGATACTAAAAAAAAAAAAAGGGCAAAAGACAGTTCCTGCCTTAAAGGGGCTTACAATTTAAAAGAGAGTCAATATATAAACACATATATACCAAGAAAGCTACATACAAAATAAATCGGAAATAATTTACAGAGGGAAGGGACTAGAATTAAGTGGAGTTGTGAAAGGCATACAGAATGACATAAAAAAACCAGGAACTGGAGGGCAATTAAGAGGGAAGGATCAGAATGGGTAGCTAAGAATTTGGGGGCACTCTTATCAACCTAGCTGAAGAATAGGATCATAGGATTGACTTACAGTTGAAAGGGATCTTCACGGTTAATTAATCTAGCTTCTTCAGCTTAGAAATGAGGAAGGTAAAACTCACACAAGAAACTAAGGATTTCTTAGAGATTAGAGCTATTTAAAACTGGAATAGGGAGGTCTTGAATTACCTGCCCCCAGAGGTATGCACACAAAGAAGCTAGATCACCACTCTTTGGGTAAGTTGAAAAATAAATCAATGCTTTGGATAAGAGTGGCCTCTGATGCTTTCTTCTAGGATTCTATGATATTATTCTAAGTGACTTGCCCAAGGTCGTACCTATAGGAAATAGCAGAAACCAGATTAAAATTCAAGGTAGCTTGTTTATAGACTGCCTTTTCTGAAGGGAAAAATAGGGAGCCCAGGTGTATTCCTAGTAAATACCTAGGTTTCTGACAATGTGGCACATACCAGTCCAGCCTTCCTGAAGTGAGCAAGAGTAACTTAGGCAACAGAGGAAATAAACATGACCTAGGAAATTCTTTGAAAGGAATTCTAATGTTGGATGGCAAAATTTTGAA